TACAGAAACTGGGATAATTCAGGACATGAGGGCCTCACAGCTGGCATGAGAACTTGGGATCGGGCGGTTCAGTCCGGGAGAAGAAAAACTTCTTGTTGCATCAATAATAAAGATCATACGAGAACCGAAAATCGCGCAAAAAAAGCCTTGGGCACCAGGTTAACTCAAACTAGGCAAGAAGAAACGCGCAAAAAAGCGAAAACTATATGACGCAATAAACCAAATTACTAACGTGACGTAACAATACCTCTCGCGCACAGAGCTGGGACAAGTGGTAAGACAAAACAAAAACGCTGTATTATTAACCATGAAAAAATCAGCGGCTATTACTATGAATAAAAATAGAAGGTATAGTACCCTGGACGGCAATCCAATGAACAGGAGATTCAGCACGCAGGATAGTACATCGCTTAACCCGCAAGATGCTGAATGTGTTCCATCCCATAGATGTTTAATTTTGGACCAGAGTTTCGAGGCGCTTAAATCTGCGCGTTCATCGACGGAAACTATGAAAAGAGTACAGCAAGAGATGGAGCGCGCAGTGAACACAGAGGCAGAGAAAAACGACAAATATAAACAGAGCGCTACGGAGCACACAAGCTTCGCGGAAGAGATTGACAACACAGCTCACGGATTAGAGGACACGACGCCAATCACTGGAGGAGATGAGACCGCAAAGTGTACAGAAAATGAAACCAGACAAACAATAGTCAGAGAATTGCATCATGAATCCCGAAATGACTGATGGTTTAATGTAAATTGTAGAGATATTAACCAGTCTCACTTAGGAACATGGGTTAGTCAGAATGACCGACACTGTAAACTGTAGGTTCAATACTACAAATTTTAGCGTAGAACAAAACTAGAAACACTAAATGTTTCATAATTCAAAGCCGGGTGCCAAAAAAATCTTTCAGGCGAAATAATAGAAACAAGAAGTTGAGAAACAGACAGAGAAGTTAACATTCCTTCGAGGTCACTGTAACGAAAGCTGCAACTCAGGTTTACAAGCTTACGCGCAACGCACAAATCTCTTTTTCGCGAGGAAGCCAGTTAAAGTGTTGACCCCTCGCACTCCTCGGAGTTGTAAGGAGGCCACGTGACTGGCCACTGCGTTTTTTCCTTTTTTTTTTTTTAAAAACATTAGACACAGTATTGAAGAACTGTGCGATGAGTTCGACACTTCTGTGTTTGTGTTGTCACGCAACGTGTCGCGCAACACTTCTAGGAAACCCCGTTACTACAACTAGCCGTTTTTTCACGTCTGGGACGACAAAATGCGGTGGTGTTAACCATTTTGGGGCCGCACGGGAGACTGGGTCGGTGTTGATAATCTGCGAGTAAGAAAAATAACCACTAGCAAACGACTGCGACTTTAATAGAATTATCCATGTCTCCCAAACAAAGGGAAATAATTTGCTTGTGGTCTCACCAGTTTGCTAGTGGAAAAAAACCTTACTAGCAAAACTTTGCAAGTGCACTGAAAAGATAACTTCGAGCCCTGGCACAACAGCAACCCAGCCTCGAGCTCAGGCTCTGTTTCAAAATGGAAAATAAACAGGGCGTTCGTAAGGCGAGGTTCTCCTAAAACTATTATCCACTGGTTCTAGTTGTTCAAACGATGGACAGCGCTATCCAGGAAATAAAACACTATCCCGTGGATAATTATTAGAAAAATCAATTGCGTTATCCACTGGAAAGAGATTGATCCAGTGGATAGCGCTATCCGCCTTTTCAACAACTGGGGCCTAGAGAATATTGAGTACGGTTTATGATTTTATGTCGCTTTGCAACACGTTCTATGATAAGAATTATCTCCAAGAAGGATATTAACCCGCCTGCTACAACTCAGTGGGAAAATGATCGTACTATAGGTCATATTTTACTACTTACTATTCTTGGTTTAAATGGAGGTGTAACTTGTCTTGCTTCTAATCTTTCCCAATCGATTTCTCTAAAGAATGGATGATCCAGAATGCTTTGCTCTCCACTCGCTGTGCAGCCAAGCCTTTTCTGGCAGTTTTTCGTCATGAACTGCATACAAAAACACAAATTTCATGTCAATGACAGTACATACTGCTCTGTATAACGGGGGGGGGGGGGGGGGGGNCCTTTCAGTATGGAGACAGCTTCCTTGGTAAGCCAAACAGGATAAAGCACATCATCATGCTTGATAGACTCAAACAGGTCATCTTCATTGTCAGCTTCAAAAGGAGGCTATAAAAAGCAAAACAATTAGGGCGGTTACAAGTTCCGGCTCCAAGAACTCTGGATCGGACAGACATTCATCATATCAGAATATCTGGTCATCTTTTGACATTCTTCAAACGGTGCATTTTGTATTTCTGAGTAAATTTCATTGAGAAATTGGATGTCTACTAGAGGAAGTGCACAAAGCAGCTCAGGACGAAAGCTGCTTTTGCCTCATAGCCACCTTGTTTCTAAGGAAAGAAAGAAAACAACAAGAAAAACATGGGAGATGGGTCACCAAAAGCCATGTGTTGCGAGAGGTAATTACAACAGTTAGAGAAAAATCAAGTGTGTGTGCCCACAGACACTGCAGACAGAGTTTCCTGTGAGTCTCAACTAACCTGTCCTGCCATCATCTCATACATAAGAACTCCTAGCGCCCACCAGTCCACAGAGAAGCCGTAGGGTTTTTCTTGAAGAATCTGAAATATATAGTCAATAATGATTACACTACAGCTGGAGTTACTATAGTCATGATAAGCTTACCGTTAATTACACATCTGATTATGGTCGCACATGAAGTCCTACCTATCAAAAACAATGGCCTCCCCAAGAAAAAATTAATTTTCATTTTAGGGCATTTTGAGTGAACAAGGGAAATAAAGAATTTTATCCATCGAAATGCCATCTTTATTTTCCCACAATGTTTCTTTTTATTTTCAGTGCTTTGAAACATTTACAAAACAATATTCTTTCAGTTGCCAGTGCTTCCATGACAACCACACAAAGATTTCCAACAGTCACTGAAGCTTCCAGGAAACATTGGGTAGAGGGGTTCAAACCAAAAAACCCTTTGTGGGGGGAGGGGGGAGTGTGATTTTTTTTTACTTTTCTGGAACCACACAGTGTATTGAAGAACATTTGCATGTTATTTCAGGGCCACATACAATAAGGGACCTTATGATCCGAGAATGGCGATGTCTAAGAAAAGGACACTTTAAAAGAGATTTTGCATCCTTTCAAACTTTTTCACGATTAGGCCAAGTCGCATAAAGAGGAAGGAATTTAGGTTGGAGCTAAAGAGAGGGGACTGCGCCCAAGTTCAGACAGAGATGGCAGAATGTTTAACGCCTTGCCTCTCCCGTTCTCAAAATTTGGCCATTGAACATCGTAGTTGTGCAGGGATGGAAAAGAAATCTACAAAAAAGCACACAGGGTTCTTGTTTTGCTTATTTAACTTCCTGTTTTGTTTTTTTGTTGTTGTTTTTCTTTTTACGTTCCCATTGCCATCGCCATCATAGTTTCATAATATCCACAGAATTTTTAATCAAATGGTTTAAAATAATCAGGAAAGGACCTACTGCCCATGTGAGCTGAGCTGCTCTTTATTGCCTACCTCAGGAGCAATGTAGTCTGGTGTTCCACAAAATGTGTTTGTATAGCCACCGGGTGTCATCCCTTCTTTACACATTCCAAAATCTGCCAACTTGATATGTCCATCTTTGTCTAAAAGTACATTATCTAATTTTAAATCCCTGTTGGATAAATCAAATCCATGGTTAGATGAGGAACAGAAGGGAAAACCGATTTTTTTTTCAATACGCTGTCCTTTATGTCATTGTGACAGTGTTATCTGCCTAAAACAACAAGTGTGAATAACTATAACATAAACAAATCATTAATTAGAGGAGGGAGCAGGGAATGGCACAGTGGTGAGAGCGCTCGCCTGCCACCAATGTGGCCCAGGTACAAATCCCGGCTTCGACACCACATGTGGACTGAGTCCGTTGTTCGTTCTCTCCCCTGCTCCGAGAGGTTTTTCTTTGGGTACTCCGGTCTTCCCCACTCCTCAAAAACCAACATTTCCAAATTCTAATTTGACCAGGAATCAGGCAGACGAAGAACCACTTTGTGGATGTGCTACCTCCAAATCATTATTCATGTATTTATTTATCTTGTAATCAAGCTGTATATTTGGAAACTGTAAGAGTCAAGGGCTCATGTGCAAGGGAGCCACAAAGGATCCTGACCCTTCACTTCTCAGGTAGATGACAAGGTCAGGAGACGAGCACAAAACATGAGTGGGTGTCAAAACTGCCACCAACAAGGAAGGTGACATGTAGAGTGAAGAGAAAAAATGAGGGACTGTATCTATCCCTTTCTTACCAGCAGGCTGTCCGAGCATAAAAGAAAATAAATTAAATGGTACTGTTCGTGTGGATGATGCTCCAGGAAAAGCAGTCCACTACTTCTAACAATGACTAGCTTTTTTTCTATTTCTTTTCTTAGAAATACACTTATGCATAAGTGTGGATAAAATAATCTGGTTGGTTGTTCCATGCTTCTACCCCTACTCTGTTTTGAAAAGATGGCAAACATGTTTTTTGTTGAGTAGTTTTGTTTTTTCATTGAGGCCTTCATTGGCAGCGTATTCACAAGAATCAACTCTTGAGTTAAAGCATTGAGGCATCAGTGTTCACATATGCTACCAACATAAGCTTCTCATGAGGTACTATGTTGCTCATGTGCTGCTAACTTGCTTACCTATAAATAACACCATGCTGGTGTAGGTAACGGAGAGCCAGAACAACTTCTGCAGCATAAAACCTAAGGATGTAGAATTAATGATTGAAACCTTTAAGCCCCAATATCCACATATAAATTCTCCATACTGATCTTCATACATTGCTTTAAAGAATTAGTAGAGAGTTTGATAACAGATCAAAATATTTTTCTCTTGAGTGATCATTAATTTTTTTATGAACTCTCATAGCCATTTCTCTTGGTAACATAATATGGATGTTGTTAGGAGAAAATTATTGTTGGTCACTATTGGGACTTAAAGGGTTAAAGGGGCTATATCACACTACTTTTTCAAAAATAATGGTCCAGTTTCATTGTTTACGACTATATTTAGGAACTGACACTATTTGCTGTCGTCTGTTACTAGGGATGGCAAGGATGGACATAGATTAAAACTTGAAAAAGGTTTTAATGCTGTGCCTGCAAAAATCACCAAAAAAGTTCTTTTATGAGCTCAGGACAGAAGGCTGGGATCAACGAATCATTACACACACCTAGAGCGCTTTTCATCAAACTTTCTTGCTTTTTGAATTTGGAACATCAAATCACCTCCATTGACATATTCCATCACAAGAAAGAGCCGATCCTGAAGGGACAACAAAACATGGATACTGTAAACTTCTGATTAGTGCTGATCTGAGCTTTAAGCTTAGCCTAAATTGCATAAAGCAAGACTGAAACAAAAAGACAACAATCACCTCTGTTTGAAAGCTGCAATATAATGCTGTAAGATAAGGATGTCCTGCAGAGACAGTTAAAACTCGTCTCTCAATCATTGTACACTCTACATCATCATCCTGTAGAACAGTTTCTTTCTTCAAGATCTTTACTGCAAAAATGTCGTCAGCACCTTTTCTTTCTGCTAGCAGAACCTGCCAACAAAAAAAATAAAGTATAAGGAATGTATAAGGAAATATTACAAATTAGCTGTGTGATGGATATTTTGCTTTGTCACTGACTTTGTTTTCACTGTAAAGAAAGACCAACGGTCCCATAAAAGCAATCAAAGCTATTGAAAGAGAGTTGGAATTGCAAGGGAAGTTTTAACTGAGATCTCTGGTTGTAACTATGCCATTTTAAAGGACTTTTCATACCTGTTTTGCGCAAAATTCACCGTTCGAAAATCCTACCGGTGACATCGTGACAATTGACCAATAAGAGAGTGATAGATGTTTGATGCCAGTCCCGGCATCCGCATTTGCCAATCATTTTTTTCCTTGCATGAATATTTATACTATGATTCAATTCCAGTCAGGCAAAACAAGTCTACCTTGCGACTCACTCAGTCGTTGCACGACCTCATTGATACTCGCTTCGCTCACTTTTCCTCATTGAAGTTCTCTTTGCTTGCTTTTAAGAACTTTTGAGAGGTCGAGTTGTGGCAAAGCTGCTCATGACTACACCAGAGAGACACTTACCTTGCCAAAGCTGCCTTTTCCAAGCACCTTAATAAAATTGAAATCAGACAATCCAAACTTCTTTTGCCGTCGTCTCATTCCAGGTGATGTCTCCAGGTCATTAGGTGTTATTGGAAGTGGTTCAAGGTGGTTTTCCTTTCTTTTATCATTTTTTATGTTTGTTCCATTATACTCAATTGAGGGCTGTAAAATAAACAAAGAAAATCATCATGATCAACTAAAGGGCACGTTAATGACTCCAAATATTGGATGTACAATCAAATGATAGAGCCAACAAAAAAGAATAGAAAAATTGGCACTGAGTCCACAAGTTTTCCATTATAAAGCATTACAAGTATGGCTTGACCATTTAACTCTTAAGAGCCAAAAGCATCTAATTTCTCCTGCGAATATAGGGAACAAAGTAAATTATCATGGTCACCCATATAAAACAGGGGTGACTTCCACTATAACAGAAGACTGACTGGTCAGAGACTAACAAACCAAGGGAAGATGTGATGGCATTGTTCAAACAAAACAAACAGTCCAACCCATATGGCAAATTTTGGTCAGACCCACCAACCAGTCAAAGAGAAATCTTAGCACAATGGGAGCATGCCAAGCCTTGATTGTTAAACAAGTTCTCATCAAAAGTGCCTAAGAAAATGGTTGTGTTACAGGTCAGAACTAAATTCAGGTTTTCACTAACTACTTTATCGACAGTTGAGTATTCTTCAGAATATTTACATGTACTTTTTATATCATATTCGACGATTTGTTTCTCAATTGATTTAGTACACGTCTTAGCAATGACCGGAAATACGTCTGTGGTCGCAGGCAATAAGCGTGTATAATTACACAAAAATTCAAGGGCCTCGATTCGAGAGAAATTACATCATTACCAGAGATAAAAAACGTGATGAGAACATGGCACGTCATTTCAATCATTGCTGAAAATAAACCACATGCTCATCAAAAGACTCATTTGCATACAATGAAAGTTTTAACACCCGACCAGTTAGCCTTTACTAATTAAGATTCTCCTTTTTTTCCAACCACTGAAGTGTTCACTTGTTCCAAAGTTATCAACTCTTTCAAGTGATAGAATTCGTGGACCGACCCGCTCCAGAAGAGCACTAAATCACATTTATCTTTTCTAAGCTTTCTTCGCAAAAAATGCGTGGCTTCAGTCATGCAACAATTCCTATTCTCAGTTTCCACAAACTCCACTAGGAACACCTGGGACCATGGCCTCCTTCTTGTGTCCTAAATACAAAGAAAAACGGCTTGCAGATTATGATTCTCGCTGCTTATGCAAGCCAGACTAATTAGGGCCAGGAGACAAAAGAAAATGAGAACCAACCTAGGTAAAAAAAATTTTAACCTGAATTTAATTTTGACCCATAACTTATGCAAAACAGTGCACAGAGTATGCATGCTGTTATGCATGGTTTGATACATTAATTTCCAGACACATGACATTTTGAAAACCTTATTATTTAACTTTGGCTTAAGCATTCTCTTAACTTTTTTTCTACAAGTGACAAGGCATTACAAAAGTGTCATTTGAGTTCCAAGGTCACTAGACAAAGAAATCTACACAACCAACCTTTTTCACCCTCATTGATTCTGACAGTATGTTTCCAGTGAGCCCCATGTCCTTTAAACGCTGCGCCATCTCTTTGGCATTAATACCACAGTTATTGGCAACATTCCTGTGACATCTCTTGTGAACGTTCATCTTGCAAGCTGAAACATGCATAAAATGTGCTTAATTTTCTCAAGGGATCAACATTAATGAGCAAATGTCTCGGTCCCAAGATTAGGGCGTAGTCGGCCACAACGTTAACTTAGAAGACCATTGGAGTCTGCTTCCAATAATTTTTACTGTGATTAGCTATTTATTCATTTTTTGCTTACTATTTTTTGTTGCTGTTACAAAAGATATCTTAGCAGGTTTAAACAGAATACCCAACTGTATCAACAAGGGACCGTTAATCCCATACCTCAAGGGGGTCTGGGGGGATCCTCCTCCAGAAAATTTTGAAATTTCAAAGCCCTACAAATGTAACTAATGCAATTTCCAGCCTTCTGGGGACTAAATTGAGTACAAAAGAGTGTGTTTTTCATTCAAGAAAATGTACCTTTCATTCAGGTTCCGATTATCAGCCACACAACTTACAAGCAATCAACAAAGGTAGATATGAACGAGAACAAATTCTGTGTAAACCTTCCAAGAAACACGTGAAGAATTGACTGAAATGCAGTATTTGCATAACTCAAAACCAGTAGGCCTTTACATTTTCATTCAGATTTTATGACATGTTTTTTGTTAAAGACATCATAACCACTAGTTGTTTCTTCTTTGGGGGAGAAAAGTAGCTGACTCTTCTGAGCAAAATAACCAACGTGTTTTGTTGGTCTTTGGTGCTTATTGAAACCCCTAAGAGGTAGATCAATTTACTTTGTTTTATTAATGTTTTATAATTGTGGGTACAAGTAGGTTAAGAGTACATGGAGCTTGTGGGGGGCTTTACTGTTCTTTTGTCCGATACGAGGTGCTTGCACACAAAGCTTCAAAACCCAAAAAAATTCATCGAAATTGCTTTTATTAACTGCTACCTTCACTCATATTCTTTACAGTCTTATGGGAGGTGGTCTGCCTACTAAAAGAGCCTTTTTAAGGCCCCGTATATAATTATATAAATTATATATGCATACTTTAAGGTCAAATAGTCAAGTTACCCCAAAATAGGATGATAGCAGTGAAAGTACTTAACTTCACTAGCCTTTTAAATTGCTAAAACAACATTTGGTGATTTTACGAACCTGAGCACTGCATCCCTTGTTTCAAAAGGCCATAGAGGAGAGAGCCACAATGGTCGCAAAAGGTTGGTCTCTTATAATTGTGTTCTGAGAATCTGTGAGGCATGTTGAGTTTGAAACGCACTGGGCCTGTGCTTGATCTTCCAAACGCATTCTGAAATAACAGCACAATTGGACAGTCTACATAGTCCTACATTTCAGGCATTTTAAAGCACTTTTAAACATTATCCTTTCTTTGAAGACACAGTCAAACCTATACAAGCAGTCACTTCAGTGTACGAACATCCAATCAAGTTATACTGTCATTGTTTCCATATCTCTTTCAAAAGGTTAACCTGTATTCAGTAGTCAGTTAGTCATTCCTGGGCAAGGGTGACTACTTAGCATGGGTTTGACTGTATTAAATTGCAAAGCCTACATGAGGAGTTTATATTTGACCTTTTGTTGTGGAGACTACCATAACCAAAATAAAGAACAAGAACTCTATCATAAACAAAAGTAATCAGTAAGGACACTCTTACTCCTTTTGAAAACCTTAGTGCAGTGCTGATGGGCTGTGATGTTTGACATAATATATCCAAAAGTCATCTTGGCTGCAGCAGAAGAAGGTGATGGCAACAGTGACTGTGCCATTGCCACAGTGGTGGTAGATTGTTGATCATACCATTGGACATTACAACCACTACCACTACCACTATGGCTGGAAGTGGTAGTGGTAGTGGTAGTGATAGTAGTAGTAGTAGGAATATCTAATAGAATGATCGACAATCGACTGCATTGTAGTCAGTTTTATATCTTTATAGCTGGACAGGCCCAACATAAGCTGAAACTCCATCCATGATACAGACTATTACTACTTTATTTATAGGACAAATACCTGATTTTCATTAGGAATAACATCCTGTAAATCTTGTTTCACCCCTGGACACTGAGACACTACCTCCAAATGGCATCGTTTGTGAACCACACAAGTACAAACTATCAACAACAAGGAGAATTACCATTAAATCATTCATTTTTTGGCTGTGTGACTACACTGTAGATTTTACAATGAGTAAACAGTAGATTTCCAATCATTTTGCTGATGAGGCAAGCGTCATGGTGGTGTGACTTGTCCATAAACCCAAACAACAGGAATCATATCAATAACAACAGTCCACAAAGAGAAAAATCTCTTTGTTTATATACAGTCAACACTCTCTAATATAGTCACCATTGGGACCATTACGAAGTGTCCAACAAAAATATCAACGTAACCGCAGCTACTGTCTCTGATCACTTTGTTTAAATGCTGACTGGTACCTTTCGAAGCACTGCAGGCTAACAATTTTTTGTAGGTTTCTCTACCAATTCTAGACTTTTTCAACTAACAGGAAAGGTTTGCGACTTCCACGACTTGTGTTACTAAATTGACCCTAGCGGCAAAGGCAGCCTTCATTCGTAAAATTCTTTGTTTTGAGGTGTTTAAAATACTTTTCGGTCAATTGGTTGACAGGATGGTTGAAAATAAAAGCCTTCATGAATGCGAGGCCCCCCTCCCCACCCCCGCCAGGACAGTGAGCCTCTGACCCATATTTTTGGCCTTACCAGTCAAGAATGGTCCCTTAGCTGCTGAGCAAAAATTTAGGGAGAACTCTGTTTGAAGATTTCGAATTTTTGTTTTATCTTTTGAGGCTTTTAATGCTGCCGTAGAGGAAGAAAAAATCACCACTCTAAAAAAGGGCAAGCACTAGCCTGCACCACAGACAAAACTAAGCCTCTGGTTACATGTAAGTATGTAAGTCTGTCTGCGAGAAAGTGCTGATATCTTTGTTCTGGGTCCCTAGCAAGGTACCAGAAATTGAGTACACACCTTGGCTGGCCTGTTCAAAAAAAATAAACATTAATTTGCTCAAACAGACCTTATTCACAATACCTTCCATCTTTGCACACACTCTAGGATCGATGGAATAAGAGCTACGTCATGTGGTATTTCGGGGGGAAAACAAGTGATAAAATTTGCCAATACAAGTAATCACGGTCTAGCTTGTTTATTCTATCAAAACAAGACGAATTCATAGTCGTGCAAAATGTACATATCAAGTTTTGGCAAGATTTGGGTCATTACTATTTGCCATGAGGACATCTTTGGTGCTACTGCATACAAAAAAGGTACTTCATTTCCTGTTGTCTAGAATAAACAAACTCAACCAGGATTTCTTCTACGGGCAGATGTTATCCCTTGTTTGCCCCCTGAGAAACCACGTGACATTGCTTTCATCCCATCAGTCCTTAAGCGCATGCAAAGACAGCGGGTATCATGAATAAGGTCTATCGGAAATGTCCTTCTGGTAATTTGTTGAGTGTTTTGGAGGCCCAGAACAAGGATCTCAGCACTGCTTTGCAGAGTTTTGCCTGTGTTAGATTATGTCTGTGATGCAAGCTAAGCAAGCAATGGAAATGACAGGTTTAGAATCTTTTTACATTCATTACTTCAGTTCATAAAATCAAATTTTTCTAAAAAATTTTAACTCGATAGCATAACACCTCACTCTACCTTGACATTGATAACCTTGCTTGTTAAATACACCCCTGAAAAAAACAATAACAAAGGTCTAGAAAGCAGCAGATGCTTGTAGAAACAAAGCAAATTTCTATAATTTTAGACAAGTGTCATAGCCCATCCATTAACACAAAAGAGGGTAACATACACTGCATTGTTTAGCCAACTTGGCCAAGTCGAGGCAATCAGAGCATGCACAAGCTGTTGACTTAGGCAAAGGGGTCAACTTTTTTTCTCATAATTTTATAACTACTCCATAAAGTTGACTCAGCTAGCAGGGTTACCCTCATTCCCAGGACAACTTTTCTCCATACTAACAGGATCTTACAGTGCGACTACTGTAAGAGGGGCCACTTAGACGAAGTTGACCAATCGGATTACAGGAAAATAACAATACATTCCGAAAAAGTTGGGTGTGGGCCAATCAGCAACTCATAAAAAAACAATAAGTTACTTGAAGCACAACATTTAAAATATATTGATAGCAAACATTTTTCAAGAAAGGAAATGTTTCACAAAATAATGTGTTTCGATTTAAAACTCTACCTACAACACCCTGAAGACATGCTTGCTTGATTCGTGCTGATTATGATTGACAACTACCTTTTCTTTTTATTAATTTATTTTTATTTTCTGTAATCTGATTGGTCAACTTTGTCAAGGTGCCCCTGGTTATACAATATGTAGTAGTCACACTGTAATCAGTTGAAGAAATTCTACAGAGTGACCCTCCAAAAGAAACCTCTAGCAGTACTTTTACATGACACTATTTATTATGCTGTACTTTAAATAGGTTCTAACTTTTTGAGTCTGTGGATGAAATCCTATGGAGTGACCATTCAAATGAAACTGCGTTATCAGTACTATAACAAGATACTATTAATTTTTATCACCCTGTATAGACAGGTCCTCAGTTTTTTAGTCTTATGGATAAAACTCATTTCTGTGGTGAATTGATTCAAATCAAACCTCTCCACAACAGCTGTTACACAGTACACATTAGTTTTACAGAGAATTGCAAAACAAAAATTTTTTTTTCCTTAAACATTTTGTCCCCTTAGGAGCACAAGTGATGATTAATCTTCGAATTGAAGACCAGTCACAAAAAGATTTAGATATTGTTTAGTGAATTTTCAGCCAACGAAAAATTACAGGTGATTTTAAGGTTTGATCTAGGCTGAAAATGAACTTTGTTCCACACTTGACACATCACTGATCAGCAAGAATTGGTGTGATTCTGCTATCAAATAAATATTGGAAAACCTTACTGAAGCGAAAAAAATCAATTAACAGTGCTGTCCAAACATGTTTAAACAACTGTTTAAATAATAATGATAAATATGTAGAGCTCCTTTCAAATGCATTGAAATATTTACAACATGTAGCTATATGCTCCGGTCATTGCACAGGGGAGCAATGCCCACCAACAAGCATTAAAAATTCCAATAAAAAATAATTTTGGATTTTAAGCTGAACATTCTCAAACCAATAATATTCTAATGTTTATTTTTTTTCAATATTTTTATTTTTAAATGTGGCAAAATGAGATTTAGGCTAAGTTAAACAACTAAACAACTCGAGACAACTAGCCAGCAGTCTCACTTCTGATTTCAGGGGCACCCTAATAGTTTCAGAGGGACCTTTGGGTTTTACAGCTTTGAGGCTGAGGTCAGCCCATTACTTTCACGTTGCTGCTCGTTCCTCATGCTCATTAGCCTGTTTATTTAATTATCTAACTAGTTGAAAAATTCTCAAGTTTAAAAAATACTGAAATTAACAACAAACAAGTTATGGAGGCTTGCTAAGTTCAAAAAAATGCCAACAATCACAAACAGTTCAGTTTTTAATTTACATTCTGTTACTTTCTAACAAAAAGGGTATTTACAACTTACTACTTTTGATAAGAAAGCATAATTCAGCTAGGAAATGTTAGATGATTTAAATAAAAGATATTACAACATTTTATTAGCTTTAGATTCTGATGCTTTTCTAAAAATTCACTAAAATCAGTGCACCAGGAAAAGTGTCTTTAAAACTTACTACTTTTACAAAGAAAGCATAATTCAGCTAGGAAGTGTTAGATGAATTAAATATAAGACATAACAGCATTTTCTCAGCCATAAAAAGGGACCCTATTAAAACAAGGCGTCTACTACAAAAGCAAAAAACATTAACTGCAACTTGTGAATTGGAGAATGCCTGCACAATACATCAGACTCACTGACAAAACATCAAGAACAAGACTGTGCTCTAGCAGAGCCCTGTGGCCCCTGGCACCTAACTTTTTGCCCTTGGGCGACTAGAAAATCTCAGATTTTTCATACAAATCATTTACTGGGCACCCTAGATTTTACAGTTTCAGAGCACTGGGCTCCCTTCAATTTTCTTTAGAGCACAGCCTTGCAAGAACAACTTTTACATTCTGTTTCCAAGCTTTAAAACACTGGACTTAATATCTTACCAACAACTCGAAAGCATTAGTTGTTGTTCCTTTTAAAAAGAAAATTGTGATGAAAAAATCAAACCTAAAATTAGAAGCTAAGAATTAAGAATTCCTCAATTTGAGGCTAACTAACACATGAAGAATGACATTACATTATGCAGAACAAAATAATGAAGCTCTAAAAAATACAAATAATACCAAGATTATGTGAAAGATTCCATGTAACACGATAACAGGAAGACTTATACACAATGTAACCACTTTTAATTTTTAGCATTTGTTTCCAAAATTATTGAATTTTTGTCATTTTAAGAAGAATGTCTTACAGCAACCTTAAAGACTCTCAAAGGTTATGAAGCTTCCTATCCAAATAAAAGCACTGATTATCTTCCTGTTGGCAACAGCTGTGCTCAGCCCCTTGGCAATGAACTCCTGCCTTTGGGTGACAAGGAAGTCTTAATTTTACACAACAAAATAAATCCTGGATGCATGATTTGATAGGTTGAAAGAATTAATGCTTCCCACAATTTTTTGTGGAGCATTAGCCTTGAGACCTTATGAGCCAGCAGACCAACTTTCTGTAAGAGCTATAGATTGACGAACACATTCACTTAAGTGCGCAAACTAGTAGCCAAGGAAAAATTATTTAATCATACATCTTATTCAAATTTAAAAGAAAGAATGGCCAACATAATACAATTTTTTTACTAGAGCAATTGCATAGAAGTTGTCGTAAATATATTAGTTTTCAGCATGTATCAGCAGGTATGGAAATGAGCACCACAGATCACATAGACCATTCTTTGACACACCAATAGACAAGCCATAGCCAAAATATCTCAAGCCTGAAAATGCATGATCTGGGAAAACTTTAATATCCTTAATTTTGTTTTTATGCTTCTTAAACATGGTAAAAATATAAATATAATAGAGTTTTACCAGAAGATGTTGCATGAAAAAAATTATGTGTAGAGGGTCAGCCCCTTGATTCTTAAAACTGAACATTCTTGTACATTTGCCAAGTAATCAATAAAGACATTATATTTAACTAAGTGTTGTCGTTCAATTTTCAAACATATTTTTTACTAAATTTGCAACACATAGAGCCAGATGTATGATGAATTTTGCTTAAAAACCAGTGAACTAACTGAGTGTCTTGTCATTTTAAAGTCTTCTAAGACTTAATTTAATTTGGCAGGAGAGACCGCTTGAAGGCATTTCACTTGATACCAGTGAGTGTCAATTTATTTTGTGTTATTGGTTTGCCAATGTCATATTCTCTCAGGCATATGCAAATGTGGTTCGTTAGCAAGCCTTTCAAGATATCCCGTGTAAAATAGGACAAATACCTGATTTTCATTAGGAATAACATCCTGTAAATCTTGTTTCACCCCTGGACACTGAGACACTACCTCCAAATGGCATCGTTTGTGAACCACACAAGTACAAACTATCAACAACAAGGAGAATAACCATTAAATCATTCATTTTTTGGCTGTGACTACACTGTAGATCTCACAATAAGTAAACAGCAGATTTCCAATCATTTTGCTGATGAGGCAAGCGTCATGGTGGTGTGACTTGTCCATGAACCCAAACAACAGGAAACACATCAATAACAACAGTCCACACAGAGAAAAATCTCTTTGTTTATATACAGTCAACACTCTCTAATATAGTCACCATTAGGACTGTTACGAAGTGTCCAACAAAGAGTATTAAAGTAACCACAGCTACTGTCTCTGATTACTTTGTTTAAATGCTGACTGGTACTTTTGGAAGCACAGCAGGCTAACAATTTTCCGTAAGCTTCTCTACCAATTCTAGACTTTTTCGACCAACAGGAAAGGTTCGCAACTTCCACGAATTGTGTTACTAAATTGACCCTAGTGGCAAAGGCAGCCTTCATTCGTAAAATTCTTTGTTCTGAGGTGTTTAAAATACTTTCGGTCAATTGGTTGACAGGATGGTTGAAAATAAAAACCTTCATGAATGCGAGGCCCCCTCCCCACCCCCGCCAGGAGAGTGCACCTCTAGTGCATATTTTGGCCTTACCAGTCAAGAATGAGCCCTTACCTGCTGAGCAAAAATGTAGGGAGAACACTGTTTGAAGATTTCAAATTTTTGTTTTAGCTTTTGAGGTGTTTAATGCTGCCTTATAGAAAGAAAAGATCACCACTCTAAAAAAGGGCAAGCACTAGCCTGCACCACAGACAAAACTAAGCCTGTGGTTACATGTAAGTACGTAAGTCTGTCTGTGAGAAAGTGCTGATATCTTTGTTCTGGGCCCCTAGAGCTGTACCAGAAATTGAGTACATGCCTTGGCTGGCCTGTTAAAAAGGACATTGCTCAAATAGACTTCATTCACGATATCCGCCACCTTTGCATGCACTCTAGGATCGACGGGATAAGAGCTATGTCGTGCGGTATTTCGGGAGGCAAACAAGTGATAAAATTTGCCAATATAAGTAATCGCGGTCAAGTTTGTTTATTCTATCAAAACAAGATGACGAATACATAGTCATGCAAAATGTACATATCGAGTTTTGGCAAGACTTTGGTCATTACTGTTTGCCATGAGGACATCTACGGTGCTACTGCCTACAAGAAAGGTCTTCATTTCCTGTTGTCTAGAACAAACAAACTCAACCACGATTTCTTCCAAGGGCAGATGTTATCCCTTGTTTGCCCACCTGAGAAACCACGACATCGCTTTCATCCCATCAGTCCTTAAGCACGTGCAAAGATGGCAGGTATCATGAATAAGGTCTATTGGAAATGTCCTTCTGGTAATTTGTTGAGTGTTTTGTTGGCCCAGAACAAGGATCTCAGCACTGCTTTGCCCAGTTTTGCCTGGGTTAGATTATGTCTGTGATGTAAGCTAAGCAAGCAATGGAAATGACAAGTTTTGAATCTTTTTACATTCATTACTCAGTTCATACACCTCACTCTACCTTGACATTGATAACCTTGCTTGTTAAATACACCCCTGAAACAAAAACAACAAAGGTCTAGAAAGCAGCAGATGCTTGTAGAAACAAAGCAAATTTCTATAATTTTAGACAAATGTCATAGCCCATCCATTAACACAAAAGAGGGTAACATACACTGCATTGTTTAGCCAACTTGGCCAAGTCGAGGCAATCAGAGCGTGCACAAGCTGTTGACTTAGGCAAAGGGGTCAACTTTTTTTCTCATAATTTTATAACTACTCCATAAAGTTGACTCAGCTAGCAGGGTTACCCTCATTCCCAGGACAACTTTTCTCCATACTAACAGGATCTTACAGTGCGACTACTGTAAGAGGGGCCACTTAGACGAAGTTGACCAATCGGATTACAGGAAAATAACAATACATTCCAAGAAAGTTGGTTGTGGGTCAATCAGCTGCTTGTTAAAAAAAAACACTAAGTTACTTGAAGCACAACATTTAAAATATATTGATAGTAAACATTTTTCAAGAAAGGAAAATGTTTCACCAAACAATGTGTTTCTATTTAAAACTCTACCTACCAAACCCTGAAGACATGCTTGCTTGATTCGTGCTGATTATGATTGACAACTACCTTTTATTTTTATTAATTTATTTTTATTTTCTGTAATCTGATTGGTCAACTTTGTCAAGGTGCCCCTGGTTATACAATATGTAGTAGTCACACTGTAGTCAGTTGAAGAAATTCTACAGAGTGACCCTCCAAAAGAAACCTCTAGCAGTACTTTTACATGACACTATTTATTATGCTGTACTTTAAATAGGTTCTAACTTTTTGAGTCTGTGGATGAAATCCTATGGAGTGACCATTCAAATGAAACTGCGTTATCAGTACTATAACAAGATACTATTAATTTTTATCACCCTGTATAGACAGGTCCTCAGTTTTTTAGTCTTATGGATAAAACTCATTTCTGTGGTGAATTGATTCAAATCAAACCTCTCCACAACAGCTGTTACACAGTACACATTAGTTTTACAGAGAATTGCAAAACAAAAATTTTTTTTTCCTTAAACATTTTGTCCCCTTAGGAGCACAAGTGATGATTAATCTTCGAATTGAAGACCAGTCACAAAAAGATTTAGATATTGTTTAGTGAATTTTCAGCCAACGAAAAATTACAGGTGATTTTAAGGTTTGATCTAGGCTGAAAATGAACTTTGTTCCATACTTGACACATCACTGATCAGCAAGAATTGGTGTGATTCTGCTATCAAATAAATATTGGAAAACCTTACTGAAGCGAAAAAAATCAATTAACAGTGCTGTCCAAACATGTTTAAACAACTGTTTAAATAATAATGATAAATATGTAGAGCTCCTTTCAAATGCATTGAAATATTTACAACATGTAGCTATATGCTCCGGTCATTGCACAGGGGAGCAATGCCCACCAACAAGCATTAAAAATTCCAATAAAAAATAATTTTGGATTTTAAGCTGAACATTCTCAAACCAATAATATTCTAATGTTTATTTTTTTTCAATATTTTTATTTTTAAATGTGGCAAAATGAGATTTAGGCTAAGTTAAACAACTAAACAACTCGAGACAACTAGCCAGCAGTCTCACTTCTGATTTCAGGGGCACCCTAATAGTTTCAGAGGGACCTTTGGGTTTTACAGCTTTGAGACTGAGGTCAGCCCATTACTTTCACGTTGCTGCTCGTTGCTCATGCTCATTAGCCTGTTTATTTAATTATCTAACTAGTTGAAAAATTCTCAAGTTTAAAAAATACTGAAATTAACAACAAGCAAGTTATGGAGGCTTGCTAAGTTCAAAAAAATGTCAACAATCACAAACAGTTCAGTTTTTAATTTACATTCTGTTGCTTTCTAACAAAAAGGGTATTTACAACTTACTACTTTTGATAAGAAAGCATAATTCAGCTAGGAAATGTTAGATGATTTAAATAAAAGATATTACAACATTTTATTAGCTTTAGATTCTGATGCTTTTCTAAAAATTCACTAAAATCAGTGCACCAGGAAAAGTGTCTTTAAAACTTACTACTTTTACAAAGAAAGCATAATTCAGCTAGGAAGTGTTAGATGAATTAAATATAAGACATAACAGCATTTTCTCAGCCATAAAAAGGGACCCTATTAAAACAAGGCGTCTACTACAAAAGCAAAAAACATTAACTGCAACTTGTGAATTGGAGAATGCCTGCACAATACATCAGACTCACTGACAAAACATCAAGAACAAGACTGTGCTCTAGCAGAGCCCTGTGGCCCCTGGCACCTAACTTTTTGCCCTTGGGCGACTAGAAAATCTCAGATTTTTCATACAAATCATTTACTGGGCACCCTAGATTTTACAGTTTCAGAGCACTGGGCTCCCTTCAATTTTCTTTAGAGCACAGCCTTGCAAGAACAACTTTTACATTCTGTTTCCAAGCTTTAAAACACTGGACTTAATATCTTACCAACAACTCGAAAGCATTAGTTGTTGTTCCTTTTAAAAAGAAAATTGTGATGAAAAAATCAAACCTAAAATTAGAAGCTAAGAATTAAGAATTCCTCAATTTGAGGCTAACTAACACATGAAGAATGACATTAGATTATGCAGAACAAAATAATGAAGCTCTAAAAAATACAAATAATACCAAGATTATGTGAAAGATTCCATGTAACACGATAACAGGAAGACTTATACACAATGTAACCACTTTTAATTTTTAGCATTTGTTTCCAAAATTATTGAATTTTTGTCATTTTAAGAAGAATGTCTTACAGCAACCTTAAAGACTCTCAAAGGTTATGAAGCTTCCTATCCAAATAAAAGCACCGATTATCTTCCTGTTGGCAACAGCTGTGCTCAGCCCCTTGGCAATGAACTCCTGCCTTTGGGTGACAAGGAAGTCTTAATTTTACACAACAAAATAAATCCTGGATGCATGATTTGATAGGTTGAAAGAATTAATGCTTCCCACAATTTTTTGTGGAGCATTAGCCTTGAGACCTTATGAGCCAGCAGACCAACTTTCTGTAAGAGCTATAGATTGACGAACACATTCACTTAAGTGCGCAAACTAGTAGCCAAGGAAAAATTATTTAATCATACATCTTATTCAAATTTAAAAGAAAGAATGGCCAACATAATACAATTTTTTTACTAGAGCAATTGCATAGAAGTTGTCGTAAATATATTAGTTTTCAGCATGTATCAGCAGGTATGGAAATGAGCACCACAGATCACATAGACCATTCTTTGACACACCAATAGACAAGCCATAGCCAAAATATCTCAAGCCTGAAAATGCATGATCTGGGAAATCTTTAATATCCTTAATTTTGTTTTTATGCTTCTTAAACATGGTAAAAATATAAATATAATAGAGTTTTACCAGAAGATATTGCATGAAAAAAATTATGTGTAGAGGGTCAGCCCCTTGATTCTTAAAACTGAACATTCTTGTACATTTGCCAAGTAATCAATAAAGACATTATATTTAACTAAGTGTTGTCGTTCAATTTTCAAACATATTTTTTACTAAATTTGCAACACATAGAGCCAGATGTATGATGAATTTTGCTTAAAAACCAGTGAACTAACTGAGTGTCTTGTCATTTTAAAGTCTTCTAAGACTTAATTTAATTTGGCAGGAGAGACCGCTTGAAGGCATTTCACTTGATACCAGTGAGTGTCAATTTATTTTGTGTTATTGGTTTGCCAATGTCATATTCTCTCAGGCATATGCAAATGTGGTTCGTTAGCAAGCCTTTCAAGATATCCCGTGTAAAATGATGCTGTTACACTAAAGACAAAGGTTAGTGCCTGCCTCAAGTTCAAGAAAGTGGAAAGATCAAGATATAAGAAGCTCTAAAGGACAGATCTCCACTGTGATAACAAGACACCTTTCCACTAGAAAAGCAAATTACATCAAGCACTGGAGAGTTTCCTTATCACTAGGCATGGATGTCTCTCAAGAAGAAACACCTGGCATAAACCAATCTAATTCCAGAACAAACCACAGTTTACGAGGACTAAGAGGGAAAATTAGTTCACATATTCAAACTGTTTCTTGTAAATGCATGGCATTACCTTGCATACAACAATGACCGAAAGAAAAGCAATGGGCAAAGGTCTTTTTCTTGCCAATAATACATACATTAGAACAATGTAAAAGAGCAAGGTATTTTATGGTAAAATTGATTCTTTTGAGAAAATTATACACACTTTGCAAGCAACATAAATATATATCTCTATATCTATTTATTTAGTCTTGTCCAGCATTTAAGTGAAGTCAAAATAGATCCATAAAAAAATTAAATCCATATTCATGCGTTATCATACCCAACATCTAAACTTAACATAAATTGGAACATAATACAGGGCAACATGACTTAGATCCTTCAGTACTTTTACGATATTTTTTAGTAACAATGTGTTTTGAAAGACATTTTGTCAAAATTATGAGATTTAAGTGTATAACTTGTCTAAAGGCAGACACTGCGACTGTACTTGTCAAAACAAAAAATAAGCAACCGAATATAAACACATGTTCAAAACAATGTCTTCAAATCTAACTCTCTTCTTGTACTGAAAGTCTTTAAAAATTGAAAAAAAGGAGAAAATTAAACTAAACATATAACATGAAATCTAGGGTGGCTGAGATTAATATTTGATAAGTTTAATCCCATTCAATTTACGTCTATTGGCTCTCTTCCATTCTTTTTATGCAGAATGCAGTACTTTTTTGAAAGGGTATAATAAGGTCACGATCGACAATGTTAAAATCGCGTGCCCGACGAACATACCTACATACGAAAACGACTTTCGGTTCGCACTAAAGATCGAGCTTACTGCGGCAGAAAGTACATAATACACCGCCAAAAAGGTGTCGCGATATTGCTGGGTAAACAAATACACTCGAAGGATAGAGAAGAAATGACAAACGTGCCTGTATAGTGAGTCATAAAGCCTTGTCACTCATTGTAACTGGTATTAAGAATTAGCGTTTATTGAACTCAACAAACTTCGACATGCAGCAAACGACTTAATTTCGGCGGGTTGTAAGATCTTGTAAAGGCACATGTGTTCGGAAGTCTATGCCACGCAGAACATTATTTAAATGCAAGAGAACATTAATCAAGCAAAGACCGGCTTAAGAGAACCTATTGAAAAGTTGCCGTAGGTTAAAATATGGCTGGGGTTTTTGTATATAGTCACACAACTAAAGCGTGAATCACTTTTTATGCAAAATCAACTCACAAAGGGAGACAATGCCAAACAAGTAAGGGCTATCAGTCGTTCTTACCAAATAAAATCCCTGCAATGACAGCAATACGTCGGCTGTCTCAGCCAAACTGCCATGAATTTATGACCACTGATCTGGTGTACTCTCCGTCGCATAGCACCCCTTCGACCCTTAATGCCGCTTGGTCTTTCTCTAAAAACTCTCCTCTCGGTATCTGCATGAAGGTGAAAAAACCAACAACAACAAAACACATACGTTAGTTTACCTCAATTACCCTGAAAAGCGAATTACTCAATACACGGCATTTATTATTCCTGGATCGTCACTGCTTTAAGAAATCTGACAAATTCGCAGCGTCTGCAGAACACGTTAAAGTTGTCGTCGAGTATTTGATCGATACGTTTGCAAAACATTAACCAAATACATAGGCTGCGACATTTATTCGAATTGATTTGCAAATACGCCCAATCCACGCATTAGTGCCAATTCTGTTAAACTCGAGGACGGGCAAACTACAAAAGGCTATGAAAAAAAGCAATATACAGGTTTGATCGATTCAAAACTCACCCTGGATGGCGGGTTTGAGTTCTATGTAGAGGTGAAGTTTCCCTTCGGGCTCCAAAGGTATCTGAAGATGACATTACAAATGGTATTTAGAAAGAACCAACTTCGCGACTAATTAATTCCTTTTAATGAAAGAGAAATTCAAATAAATTGTGCGTCCCTTCCGTACCCAGATATCGGAGATTCCTTTGACTCCAGAATTCATGATCTCTGACAAAGGAACCGACGAATTCGCCACGAACGGGTCGGGAGGCATTATAGCGTTGTGAAATACAGTTATTCCAAGAGTCTCTCCATTTTCTATCTCGCTTTCAAACTCCTCGTTCCATACAGGCGTCGACGTTTTCTGTTTCGAAGTCGTCTGTGCTATATGGACATCATCGACGTTTACCGAGACATAAGGGTCCATCGATGTGAGTCCACCAAACGTTCTTCTTTTAGCCAGATCGGGGGGTTTCAAGTCCGTCGCTCCAATAACCTTAAGCTTCACAGAGCCCGTAAAACCCACCATGTTGCTGTACAAACAATATCCGTTCAAGGAACGGCACAGAAACAGTCTTACGATCTACAAAAAGTTTCGCATTGCCTTGTTCCTCCGTAAAACCGAATCATCCAATATTCCACTCGGCGGTAGTAAATGATAACAATATTCCCTCACAGAGCTTGCAGCGGAAGGAGCCAAGAATTTCCCAGCATTCCCAGTACAATTTTTAAGGTCGGAAATTTACGAGAACCATCCGGAAAGCATTCGGCTATTTTCGGTAACTTACAGAGTCTGGGTGCGGTTAATCTTGATTTTAAAGCATCCTAACCGGGTTTTTATAAGAAGAAAGGCGTGCAGCAAAATCGAATGAAAAGAAAATGCAAACAAACTAGGAAACGCAATTTATACTACTTACTTCCCAGCCCGACGGGAATGTTTATGTGCCGCTGGACAGGGTATGGTTTTTGACCCCTTTGTCCTAAATAGGGTATATAATTTGGGGCGAGTCTGTCCCAAACAGGGTATGTGATTTCAAGTGAGTCTTTCCTAAACAGGGTAATAAAATTGACGGTTTGTCCTAAACCGTATTTGTATGTATTTAGGGAATTAATTTTTTTGTCCTAAACAGGGTATGGGTTTCACAACCTCGTCCCCAGTTTTTTAGGGAAAAGCTCTGTGGAGACGAGGTTGAGGGTTTCAAAACCCTCAGCGGCTGGTTCTAAGAGAAATTATAGTTCAAAATACTGCAAAGGTGTATCAAATAATATAATTCCATTCATAATTTTATTTAGTTCTTGACAAATTGACATCAGTGACGTTTCAGAATTGCTAATAATTTAAAAGGCAAATTTGTCTTGCCGTTCGTCGTCCTCGTCATTTCATTATTTTACTTAAACATGCGTTATCATACCCAACATCTAAACTTAACATAAATTGGAACATAATACAGGGCAACATGACTTAGATCCTTCAGTACTTTTACGATATTTTTTAGTAACAATGTGTTTTGAAAGACATTTTGTCAAAATTATGAGATTTAAGTGTATAACTTGTCTAAAGGCAGACACTGCGACTGTACTTGTCAAAACAAAAAATAAGCAACCGAATATAAACACATGTTCAAAACAATGTCTTCAAATCTAACTCTCTTCTTGTACTGAAAGTCTTTAAAAATTGAAAAAAAGGAGAAAATTAAACTAAACATATAACATGAAATCTAGGGTGGCTGAGATTAATATTTGATAAGTTTAATCCCATTCAATTTACGTCTATTGGCTCTCTTCCATTCTTTTTATGCAGAATGCAGTACTTTTTTGAAAGGGTATAATAAGGTCACGATCGACAATGTTAAAATCGCGTGCCCGACGAACATACCTACATACGAAAACGACTTTCGGTTCGCACTAAAGATCGAGCTTACTGCGGCAGAAAGTACATAATACACCGCAAAAAAGGTGTCGCGATATTGCTGGGTAAACAAATACACTCGAAGGATAGAGAAGAAATGACAAACGTGCCTGTATAGTGAGTCATAAAGCCTTGTCACTCATTGTAACTGGTATTAAGAATTAGCGTTTATTGAACTCAACAAACTTCGACATGCAGCAAACGACTTAATTTCGGCGGGTTGTAAGATCTTGTAAAGGCACATGTGTTCGGAAGTCTATGCCACGCAGAACATTATTTAAATGCAAGAGAACATTAATCAAGCAAAGACCGGCTTAAGAGAACCTATTGAAAAGTTGCCGTAGGTTAAAATATGGCTGGGGTTTTTGTATATAGTCACACAACTAAAGCGTGAATCACTTTTTATGCAAAATCAACTCACAAAGGGAGACAATGCCAAACAAGTAAGGGCTATCAGTCGTTCTTACCAAATAAAATCCCTGCAATGACAGCAATACGTCGGCTGTCTCAGCCAAACTGCCATGAATTTATGACCACTGATCTGGTGTACTCTCCGTCGCATAGCACCCCTTCGACCCTTAATGCCGCTTGGTCTTTCTCTAAAAACTCTCCTCTCGGTATCTGCATGAAGGTGAAAAAACCAACAACAACAAAACACATACGTTAGTTTACCTCAATTACCCTGAAAAGCGAATTACTCAATACACGGCATTTATTATTCCTGGATCGTCACTGCTTTAAGAAATCTGACAAATTCGCAGCGTCTGCAGAACACGTTAAAGTTGTCGTCGAGTATTTGATCGATACGTTTGCAAAACATTAACCAAATACATAGGCTGCGACATTTATTCGAATTGATTTGCAAATACGCCCAATCCACGCATTAGTGCCAATTCTGTTAAACTCGAGGACGGGCAAACTACAAAAGGCTATGAAAAAAAGCAATATACAGGTTTGATCGATTCAAAACTCACCCTGGATGGCGGGTTTGAGTTCTATGTAGAGGTGAAGTTTCCCTTCGGGCTCCAAAGGTATCTGAAGATGACATTACAAATGGTATTTAGAAAGAACCAACTTCGCGACTAATTAATTCCTTTTAATGAAAGAGAAATTCAAATAAATTGTGCGTCCCTTCCGTACCCAGATATCGGAGATTCCTTTGACTCCAGAATTCATGATCTCTGACAAAGGAACCGACGAATTCGCCACGAACGGGTC